GCACTCAAGGCGCTCAAGGCGCTCAGGGCGCCCAGCAAGGTCAGGCCGGAGCCGCCGCTCAGCAACAACAGGGTGGTAACACTGGCGCTCAGCAAGGCCAGGCCGGAGCCGCAGCCCAGCAGCAGCAGGGCGGTAACAATGGCGCCCAGAAAGGTCAGGCAGGAGCCGCAGCTCAGCAACAGCAGGGCGGTAACGCTGGCGCTCAACGCCAGGGCCAGAACGGCGCCGCAGGCCAGCAGCAGGCCGGCGCTGCCGCCCAGGGCACTGGCCGCAACGGCAACGGCAACTAAACATCTTGCAAGAGATTTTGAGATGAACCAGTCATTCATTATTAGCACTGCGAGTTAGGAGGAGGATGAACCTAGTACATAAAGAGAGTGGGTAGGGGAAAAAAGGGAAGTGTGGTAGTTGTTTTGTAGCCAAAGCTTTTTAAATGTCGATCATGGTCCGAAATATGTTTCTCAACCGATGCACGCCCTCTATGTGATGCTGAGGTTTGTGATAGAGTCTGGACAGTTATAAAGGACATATGCCTCTGTTTCTTCAGTGACGTTGGTTATTTTTCAATGTTCCTCATCTTCATAAAAACTGATGGGTGGACCATGGTAGACCACTGCGCAGTCTTTCATCTTGAACTGCACCACTGTAATATAGTCAGAAGGGCGCACTTGTGCAGTTACAGTCACGTGACGGGTTGTGTCGAAGGGCTCGGCGAACTGTGAAGTTCTATCAAGCTTTCACGATCATCGCAAGGAAGCCTGACAGGCCTGAATTCCCAGGTTTCGAAACCGATCCCAAGGCAGTGGTTTCAGATGAGCATGGCGCCGATGTTTCATGTGCGGCATGCGATACGATATTCCAAACGCTTTCCATTTGGAAACAGTAGTGTCGTTCAAGGTGCTGGCAGCGGTTGACCTGAGGAAGGCGCACGCTGCACAGTCGCGTCATTGCTGTTCCTTCGCAGACCCGTCCGCTCTGTGACGAAAATGGTGTTCGTCGCGTCGAGTCTCGCGCAAGAGGCTCGTCTGTCGTACCGCCGTGGTGATGTCGAAAGCTGACTAACATGCAAGGCGTGGGACGCCCCGAACCGCGTCGAACACGTCGGCATGCGTCAAGCAAGTATCCCCATACCTATCAGGTTGGCCTTTTCTCGCCGGTCCCAGGCATCCGCTCGCTTACCGTTCTCTCATCTCTTTCCATGACTTAGTTTGGATTTCGTGAGGCTTGGACATGGTTCAGCCCGCCAAGCGCAAAACGGCTGACGGCACCGCGTGCCCTGCTGGCGACCTGAACGAACCACGGCCGAAGATATATCCGTGCCACCCGACGTGAGCTGGCCTGGAGGAATCATGGCGGAGGCAGAAAAGGCGGCACCTGCGCCGCTGGACTTGGAGAGGGAGTTGACGTGCTCGGTAAGTGAGGTTCCGGCGGTGCGAAGCGGGGGAGGGGAGGGGCACGACATGGCGGTCAAGATGGTTCTGAGCGCGGAGTGAAGCCCTGGAGTCGCGCAGAGATCCAATCCGCTCCCGACCAAGCTCCAAGGCCCGATTTCTTCTACCCGTGTGTTACCAGATTAGTCGTGCACCCACTGACGCGCTCTGCTCGCAGATATGCACCGACCTCCTCTACCAGCCGCTCACGCTGCTCGACTGCCTCCACACCTTCTGCGGCGCGTGCCTGAAGGAGTGGTTCGCCTTCCAGGCCTCGACTGCCACCTCCATACACCCATACACCTGCCCGTCATGCCGGGCTTCCGTCCGCGCCACAAAGCCAAATGCCACCGTGACGACGCTGCTGGACATGTTCATTCAAGCACACCCGCATAGAGGAAAGAACGATCGGGAAAAGCAGGCGGATAGGGACAAGTTCAAATATGGGGACGTGGTCATGCCAAAATTGCGGAGGCGGGTTGGGCAAGACGACGATGAGGAGCGCAGAGTGCTCGAAGAGGTACAGCAGTTGAGCTTGAGAGAGGTCGGCATAGATTCAACGAGCAATGTGGCAACCGTGGACCATCTGGAGCCGCCGCGGGAGAGGAGGAGGAGAGAGCGGAGAGAGCACAGCGGAGACAGAAGGGAGAGGAGCGCAGACACGAGGAGTGCACATGGACGATCGGGGAGTCGGAGCCAGGCCAGTGTCTCTTCTGCAACCCAACAAGTGGTGCCTCCAAGGGTTATCGAACATCAGTCGAGCCTAAGAAGCTTGCTTAGCGCAAGTGAACTGGATTCGCAGGAAATGGAAGAAGAGATTATGCGCCAGATCATGGAGGAGGGCTTGTTGGACGGTATCGATCTCAACAACATCGATGTTGCCCAGGAGGATGAGATCAGCGAGAGGATAGCCCAGGCTTACAGGAGACGACAGGAACAGAAGAGGAGGGAACGGCGAGAGCGAAGAGATAGGCTTGCAAGAGAAGGCCGCCTCAGCGCCTCGGGCACCTCGACGCCTGAGATACGAAGTCCGCCTGTTCGCGAAGACGAACAACAACGGAGGAGAACGCACACAAGGTCTTCGAGCAGTACTCCAATCCCTCGAGATAGGGACAACAGGCCTCCAGTCTCTAGACCAGGGCTCTTGGACGTTGCAAACCAAGGATCTCGCACACGGCACACTCGATCGTCTAGTCAGGGCAGCTCCAGATCAGCTAGGGAACACCGGCCCTCGCCTTTAGCAGTCTCCTCTATACGGGCGCACAACAACTCACAACCAGAACTACTTGGTCCAACCTCAGCACTGGGTAATGGCACCGATCGTAGGCGTCAATCAGATCATGAACAGAGAAGTACTCTGGAAGGCCGAGAACAGTTCCGGGGTAGCCTCCAGACACACACTTCCTCAAGTGCTGACTCCCCGCGAAGGGCGGCCTTCAATTTCATCACAAATGCGGAGAGTCTGACGACTGCTTCGCCTGTCGTGGCATCTCCTGTGACGAGCCCGCTTTCGTCGGATTCACAACCAGCAAATGTGCAAGCCCCTGCTTCTTCGCGCCGCACGACAGATCCCACTGGTATAAGACAGCCCCGCGCTCCGCATAGTAGCACACCACCCACGGCATCTCCACCCACGTTCCCTCGCTCCACGACCGACCCCGCTATTGGCCAACCGCATTCATCGGCTACATCGGTAACCGCCCCCGCAGCACCACCGACTCTGTATCCAGAGCCTCATATATCGTGTCGCGGCTGTGGAAAGGACCACATCGAGTATGAGCTACACTACAATTGCTCGCGGTGTGATGAAGGGGAATACAATCTATGTCAGCCTTGTTATCGTCGCGGGAAGGGTTGCAACCATTGGTTTGGATTCGGTTGGGCGGCATGGCCAGCCTACCAGCAAAAGGCACCACCTGGTGGCTATCCTGCGAGCCACGACCTTCCTCACATCATGCGTGGACACCGATTTAGAAAACCGCAAGCGCGACTCACCGAAAGTGCAACGGCACCACACACGTTACACAGTGAGGACAATCCTTCACAGCGCTTCGAAAGCGGTGTCTTCTGCGACAGATGTGCGCAGTGGGCGGACGGGTGCTACTGGAAATGCGACTACTGCAACGAAGGCGAATGGGGTTACTGCAATGACTGCGTGAACCAGGGCAGACATTGCACGCATGCGCTGCTTCCTATCTCGCATACAGGAAGAGAGCGCTCATCTTCGTCGTCCACTCCTGCGGCCACAAGTACTGAACCACCGTCAACCCCTCGATCGAACCATCTTGCACCCCCTTCGGCGCTCGATTCATCACCACCAACCTCACCACCACTAACACCCAGAACCGCATCCCTCATCAGCGGCCCCGGCCACGTCACTCTCGCAAAATCCACCTACCGCCCTCTCACATTCACAACGCTGTGCAACATCTGCACGTACCCGATCCCTCCGTCACACACACGATACCACTGTTTGCAGTGCAATGGCGGAGACTACGATATCTGCTCCGGCTGCTATCAGAAGCTCGTCCTCTCAGGCCGCATCAGCAAGGAAGACGGCATGCACGGCTGGCGCCGCTGCCTCCGCAACCACAGGATGATTGTCGTCGGCTTCGAAGACCGCGACGGGGGCCAACGCCGCGTCGTCGTCCGCGATCTGGTCGGCGGCTTCTCCCTCCGCGACGAGACCGAATCTGCCTCCCCGCCTTCCCCTTCCCAGCCGACCCACGCGGAGAAGTGGACGTGGCGGGACACCGACGGCTCGCGACAGCAGTTCCGGTCCCCGAATATGCCCAGGTCGGCGCTGTCGACGCAGTGCTTCCCGCCGGACGGCGGCGTTGGCTTGCGTATTCAGGCTCGATGGAGCTACTTCCCTGCCGAGGGCGTGACGGATGAGCTGGCGTTTCCGAAGTACGCGGAAATTACGGAGGCCGAGGATATCAATGGGGATTGGTGCTGGGGCGTGTATGCGGGGACGAAAGGCTTGTTTCCGGGCGGATATGGGAGGGTCATTGGGGGCAGTGGGGAGAGGGAGGGAAGGATTTGAGCACGAGGAGGGTGGTTGGAGAAGCTGGCTGTAAGGAGGATTTGGGAAGTAGCTTAGCCTAATGAAGTAATGAGATATGAGAATGGACATTTTAGCAGCGCATTGAGGAGCCGCGAATGTGCATGTAGCAGGCTCATGATTGGATTTGTGGTGACGGTTCCTCTGGCAGTGGGTATGTTTTGAAAGAGAATTTTAGTCATTATGTCTAGTACAGTAAGCTGTCCTATTGTTCAGAGTCTTAGCAGTATTACTTATTTACTATAGCTGAGCTCTTTCACATGCGATTAGATGTGTGCTTAGTACATACAGGTGTCTACTATATAGGTAGCAAGGGCTCAGCTGCTAACATAAGCTAAGTGTGCCTCCGCCTATTCGTATCTGCCCTGTTCTCAGTGCTACGTCTACTATGTGCATATACGCTTGCGCACTAAAAAAAAAGAATGTCACAACTCTGAGAGTGATGCACCAAAGATGAAAATAACTGACAACTTCCTACTATTTGCTTCAAAAGAATCCAAAAAAGACGACACCTGAGTGATTCGAACACTCGCTCCCGAAGGAACGGGCTTAGCAGGCCCGCGCGTTAACCACTCCGCCAAAGTGCCGTGGTATTCAGCTTGTTTCGCTGATTGATGTTGATAGTTGTGAAAGTTTAGTATATATCCCAGCATCATCCAAAGAAGGGAGACACTTTGTACTAGCTTATAATTGTCCTAGATCTCAGACGCCCTGCTGTGACTTGCGCTAGTACGGAAGTGAGCTTGTGCCACGACCGTTTCTCGATAGCGTCCGGGAGACGGAGAAACCGCGACGCCGCGAGGTTCTTGGCAACCCCAGTCCCCAGTTTACGATAGTCCACACGCGTCCCAAAGCTACAGACCTAACAATCACCGTACACCTCCCATTCTCATATACTGGAAGCCAGCTCTGGCGCAAGAACATCACGCACTATCTTCACAGTTGCCACGGCGAATTCAAAATGCCCCAAGCCGGTGCGTATATGGGTGCTTTACGGCGCGCCGTTCCATTCGCGCGCAGCTATCCGCGGATGCCCATTCCTTTGCGAGCTTCACTAACGTCACCCAGCCGCGCGGGCGCTTTCCCAGGCAGATCTCCCGCCGTCGGTGGAGAAAGCCTACTACAAGAAATGCATCGATCTCCGACGGCGCATAACCGACATCGAAGATAGCAACGATGGCACGCGCGTGCGTATCAGGCGTCTGCACCGCGGCATCCAGAAGATGCGCCTCGAACGTGCCTTCCTCCTCGAGCAACTTCAGAAACACATGGAGTTCAACATCGATGACTCGGACCGGAGTAGCAGTCCGCCGCCGACGCCCACCGATAAGCCGTTGAGGAGCAAGCGGAGCCATCGCAAAGGCACACCACCCACAGGATCCCAGACAGGCGGCGCCGCGCAGCAGGAGAGCCCCAGCAATTCCCACCACCAACCGCTTCTCCATGCGATGAACCCCATGTCCTCCGCGCAGAGCACGCCGGACCCAAGCCGCTCGAATAACCCTTTCTTCAGCACCCTCGGCGCGACCGCAACTTCCCCGCACGCTGTCAATGGAAACGCACAATCAATCCTTCCACCGCTACATTCGCTGCCCCCGCTGCAGCCCCAGCGTGCTTCCGAGTCTACGCGCGGCGCCTACTTCGACCCCGTGAACGACGAGGCACGACCGCCGCCCGGAGAGACCGATCCGGAGTATGCTGGCCGACGACGCACGCTTTCCGGTACAAATCCCCGCGTCTCAGAACCACGCGATGCGCAGAACGGCGATACCGAGATGACGGACGCTGCGGGTGCTGGCTTCACGGCCGTGAACAGGGGTTAGAGGCCTCGGTTCGGTCGGGCAATGTTTATGTTTGACCCTTTTCTTTGACCCTTTTCAAGGTTGAATCGGTCTGCATGCGTCGGGGATGGTTGACCATCGCTCTACCAGCACGCCTGTATCATCTGGACCGGCTCTGTACTTGCACAAGTGGCGATACTGAAAGGTAATGGCGTTGGGCAAGGATTGTTCTTTGAGCGTGGGTGCTTTGTTGGAGTCGAGCGGGCGCTCACCTGGTTTTATGGAGTATTGATTGTATGAGTATGGAACGGGTGCTGTTCACATTTGTAGTTGTCCAAGAGCTGATCCCAGCTTGTTTGGCAGTCGAGGGAAGCTTGATCTCAATAATATTGCATGCGATATCTGCGGCAACATTGACATGATGAGGCATCTTGTAGAGTTCACGAGTGTTACTTGCGCGTGTTCGATTCAACGACTGCGAGAGTACGCGTTGCCAGCGTGGAATCTGCCTTGCTTTGGGGGTATGTTGTGGGCCTTGCAGTCCCTATCTAAATTCAAGTGGCTCTACTCGTAACCCCTAGGGCTTGTGACACCAATGATATAGCAGTGAAGCGCTACAGTCAGTCGCATTCCCGTTCCCTCGATTCGATTCCCCCATCCAAGACAAGTGTCGAAGAAGCAGCAGAATCGACAAGTCACATTTCCAGTAACCATCCCAGCAAGCCATCCGGTCCAGTTCGCTGCATGCATAATCTTCACAGTCGTGCCAGTTATTATAGGTTTCTGAGGTTAATTGAAATTAGTTGAATTACATTACCATTAAATAAGTGAATTATTTTTCCCAATCTTTCCACAACATAGTCATAATCATTGATAGCACAGTACAGCACAGCACAGCACAGCCCGATCGAGCTACCTACCCTTCGAGATATCAGAACCAGCTCCTAACCGAAGACGTCCGAGAGATGCAAAGGAGTGCATCCCCTTCCACAAACCATGCATCTCATTTCCAGCTTTCCAAAACCTAATTCCACTTCCCCCTCACCACGGGGGAAGGTATGTATACTTCAAAAACATCACAGGTGGTAATGCAGTAGCGCTAGGTACAGGTGCATCGGTTCAGTCATAGCCTAGTAGGAGGAGCCGAAGAACCTTTGCAAATCACGATCGTTTGGGATCGTATCGGACCTTCCTAAGGAAACGGTTCGTTTCCTCTAGGTAAGTACGTCGTCTATTTCTAGATTGCTGCCGCTTTCGGATTCTAGCTGTCTCTCCCAGACTCGGGGACAGCGTGATTTTTTGCTGCGCAGGTGACCTGCTTCCTGGAGAGGTTGAGACAATGACTTGTTTGCTGGTGGTAGTGTCTGGCTTTCCAGGCCTCCGTGGGAGGAAGATTGGGGGCTGCTGTGGTCCTGGAAATCGTGGGGTAGTGACGAATTGACTGGCCGGTGTGAGGGTCGATGGATACTAGTGGAGCGCTGCGGCTGCTTGCCCCCCTGTTACACCGATGGTTCTCAGTTGGGTCCGGAAGATGTGTGAAGCCTTTGTTCGCAACGGTTCTGTCTATAGAGAGTGTAGGTAATTTCAGACATATTTACAACAGACGACGTTACTAAAGTGTTCGATTTTTCTCTGCGCCTACTGTGATTTATCCTTTCTTAGCAATCTTTGTAAAAGAATCAGCGAGGTCGACATGCAAGTTGCCAATAACGATTCTAGAAAGCGATTCGATTCACTTCTCTACATGCATAGACTCAATCACGTCCGCACACGACACTATTCGTAAAGTGCGCCCCATGCCAATTGAATTTTTCCGTCGAACGAATAAATACACACTACCTGAATCAAACACACCCCAGCGCCTTGTTGAACGCTCACCCTACACAAACACACATTGTAACCGAAGGTCCAACCACGGTCCCAGCCCTTTCGGTGAACGCCAGAGAAATGTACGCCAAGAGTGTAGAATGCAAGTACACTTAAAAAGCAAATGCTCATGGTTATCGTCTCGAACTTGCCATATGGCCGTAGCGGTCTCGTTCGCGCGTCGTATCATATGCCTGCAGTACGCGTGCCTGCGATTCATCTGTTTGGGAGAAGGCGTATCCACGCTGCTTGCGCATGCGTTGCACTTGGCGCACCTTGCGGATGGCCTTTTGGAATTGTTCCATGCTACCACTAGTCAGCATAGAATCGAAACCGGGGGGGGGGGGGGGGGGGGGGGGGGATGGTGGTACATACCGCGGTCTGTAGTCTTGGATGTTGTACTTTTGAATTTCTTGAACGTGATGATAGCTCTGAGGGTAGTACATCCTCTTCGCGTACTTCCAGGCGAAATCTCGCATCAGACAGAGAGGAGGCAGCACGCAAAGCATGATCCAGAAGCGAATGTCTGGGAACAGGCGCTCGATGACGCCGATATATTCGGGCGACACACCGACCATCGGGGCGACAGTCGCATAGGCGGGCATGAGGATGAACCAGAGAGCCATCGAGCCGGGGATAGCAACGAAGGCGTATTTGGTCCAGATGTTAGTGATAAGTGCCGCTTTCAGCAGTACAGTAGCTAGTGCAGCTGTGTAGAGCGCAGTACCCCACACCCAGTGGCCTGCGTTCAAACCATCTGCTTGAGGCCAGTCCCATAGCACGATGGCCTGCGAGACAAAATAGAGAACTAGAGAATGGTAGAAGCCGTTTGCGACCCATGACCAGAACGAGTGCATCTTGAAGAAGACACCGCTTTGACTGAGACGGTAGAGTTGCGGATAGCGATCCAATAGACGTGCACTGACGAATTGATCAAAAATACCCATGACAAAGGGAGGCGCAGCCGTGAAGAACACGTTGTAAAAGGTCAGTGTCCACGACTCAAAGATGATTTGACCGGAGAAGGCATTCTGGAAGGAGTACCAGAATTGGGTCATGAAAAGCGCGATGTTCTTGTAGAAGGAGTAGAGAATAACCTTGCTAACACGCTGGTAGCTCCAAGCTCCATGAACTAGAAGAAGCTTGCGAAGGTACCGGAATTGACCAATTGAGATATCGGCGCTTCGCGCTGCCTGGAGACCTTCGACACCGCTGATACCGACTCCAATGTGAGCAGCCTGGATCATGGAAACGTCATTAGCCCCATCTCCAATGGCGAGCAAGATGGCCTTCAGATGTCGTTTGACGAGTTTTACAACCAAGGCCTTCTGGAGCGGGGATACACGACAACAAATGACGGCTTTGCATTTGACGGCCAAATCCAAGAATGTCTTTTCCAAATCTTTTTCCAAAGCGTAGGTGAGCGACTTGCCGTCGATGACAAGAGCGAGAACGTCCATTTCAGCGCCTCCTTGGTTTTGGCTATTGATAGCGTTCAGCTTCTTGTGGATGTTGTCTCTCGTGGCTTCCTTGTCCTCTTCGTTGATTATCAGCAGACTCATATCTTCACTGATCAACTTGCAACTCATTCCAATATTGATTGCAGTCTCTTGTCGATCACCGGTCAGGACCCAAATCTTGATACCTGCAGTTTGCAGGGTCGCAATGGTATCAGGAACGCCATCCTGAAGCTTGTCTTCGATGGCAGTTGCTCCAAGAAGAGTCAAGTCATGCTCTATAAGTTCGGCCGCCTTATCCAGCTCTTCCGCTCGATTGCCACTGACAGTGGTCTGTGCTTTGGTGAAGATCTTGTACCAGTCCTGGAATTCATCCTCTGGAATCTCGCGCATCGCTAAGCAAAGCGTACGTAGTCCTTCCGCGGCGTATTCCTCGAGATGTGACAGAGTCACCTCTACGTATGGATTGTTCTTGCCCAGTCG